CTCCTCTGATGCTGCTTGGCCTGCTGTGTTCATCCAGCTCTACACCTTGTTATCTCTATACTCTAATCCCTCTGATCCAGTTTAACATCCTTTCGAGGAAGTAGAAACCAACCTGTCTGTTACCTTACATTTAAATCTGTGAAATTTAGATGAAATATTATAGATTATTGTTAGACAATTAATTGCTATTTCTTTCACTTTAATTAAACAGTGTACAACAGAAGCACATCTATTCTCTACATTAAAATCTACGTAGCACTTTGTTCAGCGATTTAATAGTTGTCTAGTTTCCTGTTCCACAGAGTTTAAGCAAAGTGTTCTTGTAATCTCCAGAAGTTTCATCCTAAAACCAGAAACAAATAGGCAATAAGATATCATTTAGGGAAAAAATGAAAGGCACAATTAAAGTAGTCAAAATATATCCACCAAAACACGTTAATGATCAAATGCAAAACTGAAATACTCCGCTTAAACTCTTCCTTTCCTACCTTTTATTTGTTTCATATGAGGAAATTATTTCTTTCTAAATCTGGATTCCATTTATTTTGTTCAGATTAACACTGAGTCGTGAGCACTAGTTCAGGCTGGATTGGGAAATCTAGATGCCAACAACAAGGCTATGAGGAATGAATGGAACTGGAGGTGATCATGCGGAATGTGTGATAACAGGTAAGAAGGAAGACTTAGGAGGTAAGGTCAGTACCAAAATAGTGGCTGGTGTGGGGCTGTTGTGAAGTACACTGAAATTCTCCTAAAATAAACATACAGCTTGTGAATCTCAAGGCATCTCTACATGAACATGAGGAAATGATAATTTCACTGCAGTTTTATTCCTTAGAACAAATGACTTAACACTCAACAAAAACCAGAACATTTAACTATTATTAAAAGTTCTCCTCTCAATACAAGCTAGATTGACAACTATGTCTCAAAGAAAGTTTATTAATCTGCATGCAATTTAGTTTCAAAAATTCTGGACTGTGACTAGGGAGAAACTTGAAAAGAGATGGAAAGTCAATGCTGGTTCATAATTCAACAGGTTCAGGCCATATCTAGGTACAATGATATCTACATTGAGGATTTATTAAGAGATATTTATTTATTGTCATTTTGAAACAAGTTATTGCTGATTACCAGCAAATCAATGACAAGTATGTTAATCTGTAAATAAATACGTTTAAATATTTTAAAATATGTTCTATCCTGAGTAAGTTTGCCCAGTTTTGTGCTAAATTATTTAACATCATGATATACTTGAATTTCCTACATTTCTGTGGTAATAAACAAATAAATTACGTTTCTCAACAGAGAGCTCGGTGAAAATTAATATCAGTAACAATCACTGTGGGGCGGCACGGTAGCTCAGTGGTTAACGCTGCTGCCTCACAGCGCCAGGGACCCGGGTTCGCTTCCACCCTCGGGCAACTGTCTGTGTGGAGTTTGCACATTCTGCTCGTGTCTGCGTGGGTTTCCTCCTGGTGCTCCGGTTTCTTCCCACAGTCCAAAGATGTGCAGGCTAGGTGGATTGGCCCGTAGTGTTCAGGGATGTCTAGATGAGGTGGGTTATAGGGGGATGGGTCAGGGTGGGATGCTCTGAGGGTCAGTGTGGACTTGTTGGGCTGAAGGGCCTGTTTCCACACTGTAGGGATTCTAAGAATTCTACGAGTAAGACAAAGATGGTGGAGCAGTAGTGTCACTAGATCAGTAATACAGAGATCCCCTAATTTTCTGGGGATATGGGTTCAAATCCAAATTTCATGCAATTAATAAACCTGAAATTGAAAGCTAGTCTTGATAATGGTGAAACTATGAAACTATCATTGATCATTGTGAAGATTTGGTTTACCAATGCTCTTTTCAAAAAGAAATCTGTCCCTGTCTGGTTTGGCTTCAGACCCACAACAATGTGATTACTTCTTAAGTGCCGTCTAAAATGGTTTAGCAAGCTATTTGTTTGAAGGGCAACAAGGGATGGGCAACAAATGTCAGTGACTCCCATGAGAGAATAAAGAAAGCGAAAGATCGTATGTACTGCTTTTTGTGTAATGGATCAATAAGTCTTAGGGAGTTGCTTCCGTTAAAGTAAGCAGTAATATATTTTCATACTGTACTTTCAATGCTTGTTTTTCCCTAATGAAGTGGGAAAATTCTAAGAATAAATTGCTTTCTGGTGAAAGCTATGCATATCTTTCTATCTACTCCTCTTAAGAGTTCTGTCAATATCTCCAGTCTCCATGCCTTGTGACACCAACAAGAGTTCTTAAATGAACAGCTCTGTAGGATCGTGGGATTTTCCATGGGATTAATCATTGATCAGCTTCAATGCTATTTTTAATTGCAAAAATCTTCTATAAAGATGTGAAAATAGAAATGGCAGGTCTCTAAGAGCTGGGAAGAGAATTTGGAAATTGTAAATACTTAGCAGATTTTCTTTGTCATAATGTTTAATTGAGGGAAGATTTTTATACTAAAAGTAATTCCCCTCGCAGAACAAACACTTTCTTCATCTTTCAAGATCAGGGGCAAACCAAGAGACTTGGAAGAACTATATATGGGAATAAAGAAAGGAGAAAAACAAGCAATAGGTATAATAAAGCTGAAAGCCATGCTAATAGCAATTAAGAAAATATTGATTAAAAAGAAAACTATCTGAAGTACATTAATGCTTGATGAACTGTTTTTTTTCAGCTCTGCCCAATGCTGCTCCTGGCATGCTCTCCTGCATTGTTCATTGAACCAAGGTTAATCCCCCAGCTTGATGGCAATTGCTTAGTGATGGGCCTCCAGGGCGTGTGGTCGTGTAACTGAATACATTTCTCCTACTTCTAATAGCCCATATTGTTTTGTGGATGACAGTTTTGAGTTGTTAGATCTATTTGAACTCTATTGCACAGTGATAATACCATACAGCATGATAGAAAGTATCCTTAATCAAAGACAGGACTTTGGCTCCACAAGGATTGTGCGGTAGTCATTCCTACCGATACTGTCACGGACAGATATATCTATGTTAGGAAGATTGGTGAAGACAAGGTCAATTATATTCTTTTTCCCTCGTGTTGGTTCTCTTGCCACCTGGTTGTAGGCAAAATCTGGCAACTATGTCTTTAGGACTCAGCCAACTCAGTCTTTAGTGTGCTACTAAGCCACTTTGGTAATGGGCTTTGAAATCACACAACCAGAGTACATTCCATGTCCTGTATTTTCAGTGTTTCTTTCAATTGATGTTCAGCACGGAGGCGTACTAATTCAAAAGCTAAGGCAGATAGGTGAGAAGGGTAAATCATTTCAGCAGAACGTGTCCTGACCCACATTTGACTGATGCCATAAGAATTTACGGGGGGTCCCCAATCAATGTAACTCAAATCCCATCTGTTTGTATACTACCATGCAGTCATTCTGGTCATATTTTGCCACTGGTGGGATAGGATATAATGGTGGGTGGTAGAGACTGTTAGGTACAATTCTATAAATATGACTATGTTAGGCTGTTGCTTGACTCAACTCTAGGATACCTCTCCCAAATTTGGAACAAGACTTCAAGTGCTCGATATTTGCAAGATCGACAGGACTGGGTTTGTGTTATTGTTTCTGGTGCCAAGGTTAGTACCATGTGGTTGTGTAGTTTATTCCTTTATTTTAAATTGTAGTATATTGGTATAATTGAGAGAATTTTAGGCCTCTTCAAAGGGCAGTTAACCATGAAGCACAACACTGTGAATCTGGAGTCCCATCTACGCTATATTGCTTCCCTAAAGACAATTGACAAATTACATGGTCACCATTAAAAGGAACAAGCAACAAGTTAAAGATTTTCTTTATTAATCCCAACAGCAGAATTTGAACTTATATCCCTGAAGCATTTGTCCTAGAGAGCCTCTGGATTACCAATTACCAATACACCACCACCTCCCTTTTCAGACAGCTACTATACTGGCAGCAACCTGCTCAATGAAGTTCAGTTTGGATTCCAGCAGGTTCACTCAGCTCCTAATTTCAAATCAGCCTCAGTCCAAACATGGACTAAAGGTTAGAGAATGACAGGCAAAGACAAAGAGGAAAAACCTAAGGATATACCAACAGTTAAGACTCGATGTTAGGATGATAACAAAAAGACAAAACTAATGGCTCTGTAACAGAATACATATGGCATTCATAACAAATTAACTAAATTGGTAGCGCATGTTAAAGTACATAAACAAGATCTAAGAGCCATTACATAGACATGGCTGCAGGATGACAAGGACTGGGTCCTAAATATTGATGACTGTATAACATTAAAGAGAGTAGGAAGTTGGATAAAGGTGGAAGGCCAGTACTATTACAATGGCAAAGATAACATCTCTAACAGTAGCTGGAGATGACCTTATATCACGATGTAGAAAAGGTTTGAGTGATGAGGAATAATAGGAAAAAAAAGTCAATAGTTGGAGTGGCTTACAGGCCCTCTAACCACAATGTAGGATAAGTTAAACAAGAAACAATATTAGGTGCTTGTGATAAAGGGATAGCAATAATCATGCATGAATTTATTTCTGACACAGATTGGAAAAATCAGATTGACAGTGATGGCTTGAATGAGAAGTTTGTAGGGTGCTTTCGGGATAGTTCCTTAGAGCAGCACGTTCTGGAACCAAATAGAGAGCAGGTTATATTAGACTTGGTTTTGTATAATGTGACAGGGTTAATTAATTACCTCAGGGAAGAGTCACCTTTAAGAAGGACCAACCACAATATGTTTGAATTTTACATTCAGTACGAAAAAGGGAATATTTAAAACTAGTATTTTAAACTTAAAAATAAGGGCACATAAGCTGTGCTAGCTGAAGTGAACTGCAATGCTAGGTTGGGTGATATATTAACAGAGAAGTAGTGGTACCCATTTAAGGGTACATTTAAAAATGTTCAGAATAAGTACATTCCTAGTTTAAAGGAAATTTACAAGAGGAGGATCCACCATCTTAGGTGAAGAAGATAAGGACAGCAAAAAGGGTTAAGGAGAATCCAAAGGGATTCTATAAATACAGTAAGGACAAAAGGGTAACTAGAGAGAGAATAGGGTCCCTTAAAGATCAGCAGAACTGCCAGTGTGTGGAGACACAGATGGGGGAGATACTAAATGAGTATTTTGCATCAGTGTTTAGTGTGCAGAAGGATATACAAGATATTGAATGTGGGGAAATAGATAATGACATCTTGAAAAATGTCCATATTACAGAGGCAAAGGAGCTCGATGTCTTAAAACACATAAATTGGATAAATCCCTGGGACCTGGTCAGGTATACCTGAGAACTCTGTGGGAAACTAGCGAAATGATTGCTGGGCCCTTTGATGAGATATTTGTATCATTGATAACCATAGGTGAGGTGTCAGAAGACTGGGGGTTGGCTAACATTGTGCTACTATTTAAGAAAGGTGGTAAGGAAAAGCTAGGGAACTATACATAGGTGAGTCTGACATCAGTGGTGGGCAAGTTGTTGGAGGGAATCCTGAGGGACAGGATTTACATGTATTTGGAAAGGCAAGGACTGATTAGGGATAGTCAAATCATGTCTCACTAACTTGATTGAGTTTTTTGAAGAAGTAACAAAGAGGATTGATGAGGGCAGACTGATGGACTTGTTCTATATTGGCTTCAGTAAGATGTTTGAAAGGTTCCTCATGGTAGACTGGTTAGCAAGGTTAGATCACATGGAATACGGGGAGATCTAGCCATTTGGATACAGAACTGGCTCGAAGGTAGAGGACAGAGGGTAGTGGTGGAGGGTTGCTTTTCAGATTGGAGGCTGATGACCAGTGGTGTGGCACAAGGAATGGTGCTGGGTCCACTGCTTTTTGTCATTTATATAAATAACTTGGATGTGAACATAGGAGATGTGGCCAGTAAGTTTGCAGATGACACCAAAATTGGTGGCGTTGTGGACAGCGAAGAAGGTTACCTCAGACTACAATGGGATCTTGATCAGATGGGCCAATGGGCCAAAGAGTGGCAGATGGAGTTTAATTTAAATAAATGTGAGGTGCTGCATTTTGGAAAGGCAAATCGGGGCAAGACTTATACACAAAATGGTAAGGTCCTGGGGAGTGTTGCTGAACAAAGAGATCTTGAAGTGCAAGTTCATAGTTCCTTGAAAGTGGAGTCGCACATAGATAGGATAGTGAAAAAGACATTTGACATGCTTGCCTTTATTGGACAGCGCATTGAGTATAGGAGTTGGGAGGTCATGTTGCGGCTACAGTACATTGATTGGGCCAATTTTGGAATACTGCGTTCAGTTCTGGTCTCCCTGCTATAGAACGAATGTTGTGAGGCTTGAAAGGATTCAGTAAAGATTTATGAGGATGTTGCCAAGGTTGGAGGGTTTAAGCTATAGGGAGAGGCTGAATAGGTTGGGACTATTTTCCCTGGAGTGTCAGAGGCTGAGGGGTGACCTCATAGAGGTTTATAAAATCATGAGGGGCATGGATAGTGTAAATAGACAAGGCTTTTTCCCTGGGGTGGGGGAGTCCAAAACTAGACAGCATAGGCTTAAGGTGAGGAGGGAGAGATTTAAACGGGACCTAAGGGGCAACTTTTTCATGCATGATGGAAGGGTGGTGTGTGTATGGAATGATCTGCTGGAGGAAGTGGTGGAGGCTGGTACAATTACAACATTTAAAAAATATCTATATGGGTATACGAATAGGAAGATTTTAGAGTGATATGGACCAAATGTTGGCAAATGGGACTAGATTTAGCTGGAATATGTGGTTGGCATGGATGAGTTGGACCGAAGGGTCTGTTTCCGTGTGTACAACTCTATGACTCTATGACTCATTAGACTTAAAGGAAAATATATAATTGCACAATGATGTTACTCTGCCATGTTTTTTTTTGTCTCAGGTAATGGATGAACTCATTGTGTTATCTCAAGAAAGCCTGGTTAAATGGGCTCCTTTTAACATGTCAGTTAATTTGAGTCTGGGAAAAAAATATCTCCAAGGGAAGGGATCCATTTTAAAATTAGTCTTATTGCAACCAGCAGAGTGATTGGGTGAATAAAGGTAAGTCACTTCATCCTTTCTCACCCAGGAGTTTAATGATTACGAATGGCATTATGGGAATAGGTTGGGTAAAAGGCATTGAAGTGTTCAATCAGCCATGATCGTACTGAATGGAAAGGCTGATACAATGGGCTGAATGGCCTTCTCCTGTTCCTTTGTTGTCACCTGGAACTACAACAAATTGGGGAACCTTACCTGGGTCTGGGGATAACGGCTAATGAAACACTATCCTTTTATTAAAAGAAGAATTTAACATAAAAGTGAAGCTGTTATTTAGGGCATTCGTGAGACCACATCTCAAATACCTTGTGCAGTTTTGGTCTCCTTATTTAAAGAAGAATGTAAATGTGTTGGAAGGAATTCAGAAGAGATATTATGGCTTTATACCTGGAATGAGTAGGTTGTCTTATGATGATAGATTTGAATTCTGGGCTTGTATTACTGGAGTTCAGAGAATAAAGATTTAACTTGATTCAAGTATTTAAGATGCTGAATGGTCTAGATAAAGTGCACATGAAAATTATGTTTCCTCTGGTTAAATCCAGACCTAGATGCACCATTTTAAAATTAAGGGTCGCCCTTTTAGGCAGAGATCAGAAGCAATGATTTCCCTTTGAGGTTTGTATAGCTTTGGAGTTCTCTACCTCGAAAGATAAGGAGGCAAGGTTATTGAATATTTTTAAGGCAGAGGTAAATATATTTTTGTTAAGCAAAAGAAATCAAAGGTTATAGGGAGTAGATGGGAATGTGGACTTCAAAACACAAACAGATTAACCATGATCCTGTTAAATGTCTGAACAGACTTGAGAGGGCCAAATCACCATTTCTGGTCCTCCTAAATCATATGCTTACATGTTCCTGAGAAATGAGGTGCGAGTGACTGTGTATGACATATAAGCAACTTTTGACTCGGACTTTAGAAGACAGAGTTCCATTTTCAGTCGTCATGGTTTTAAAAAAGGACTTTTCCACAAATTTTGTGCAATGCTGCTGAATAACTGAGGTTCAGAAGAAGACATGGATCTTAATGTAAGGTCTAATATGAGGCTATCAATTAAGTAGCTGTTTGATCATTGTACATGTGCCCTGTACATGTGCATCGATTAAAGGAGACCAATAAAATAACACACAACATTCTCCTACATCAGCTCTTCTTTTTATTTCCCCAATATTATGAGGTACTTGAGTGCTTATTGGGATAGATTTTAATTTCAATTCTAACGGAGTAATCTGCATCCCAATTATAAAACCAATCTGAGTTTCATCAGTGGAAAGTGCAAATTTATTCGATTGTGTCTTCCTCAGTACTTCCTCCTTATGAAAGCCTACAGTACTTGCCTTCTATCTATACTTCAACCTAAGTAATTCCCTTGTGGAAGAAGCTTTTTAAACTGTATTTTTGAGTGATGGATACATTTAGTTGTAAGAAAGGCAACCCTCCTTTGTAGTAATTCCTTGATTTGCATCTCACAAGCAGTAGTCTCAAAAGGCTCTGACCTGCTGTAGTTCCTTTTGTTGCCATCCTGAACTGCTATCAGCAAATGTTTTAAATTGCCAATGTGCAGCACAGCATTAATTGTGAATAGCAACTCTTTGAAATCTGCTAACTTAACAAATATCATGTCCACACACACAATGCATCCCCTTATTCAAACACATTAAGCCTGCAACATGCCTCCAATACAATGATAAACCTTGCAAGAGCTTGCAATGTAATCTCTCACCCAGCTTCAGTATTGTATACAAGATGCAATATATCCCACTGGTATTATGTGAGGATCATATAATCAGCCTCTATACAAATGTATCTATCACTTGAAAGTTTCTGAAAATGTAACAAAAGTCAGGTTGTAAAACTTACTCACATTCATGATCAAACTGAACTGAATGAAATCATGTTAGGAATTGTAATTCTCAGTAAAATAAGAAACAGCCTTGACTCTGAAGTAAGTTAACCTGACATACACTTTTATCAGTTTAGACCATCCCTAGTTGATACATTGTGAACTTAAAGACTCAATGCTCACTTACAATTTAAACATTGTAACATATTTATGTTCAGGTCCCAGAATTATTGTGAATGATAATTAATTTATTCTGAAGTTTAATCTGCTTCATTTATTGCTGATCTTAGACAATTCTAAAGCCCCATTGTATGAGCTGAAGTACTTGAAAATGAGCCAAGAGGCTTCAATGACAGATTGAGGGGGAAAACAATTGAGAGAAGATTGCAGATTGCAGACCTACCTTGATAGTAGCATACACAGATCGGCCATACAGTTTCAAATACTCATCTTGAATATCCAGGAGATCAATTTCTGACCTGCTGACCATGATTCTTGAGAAAGTGTTCTCATCGGTACCCAGGCCCTGTAAAAGAATTTCATGCTCTTACATTATCAGTGCCATTGACTATTATTGTATGAATGTCAGTTGGTTAAATCTGCAGGATGTCTTCATGAACTGCTTTTATACACTGGCATGTCACGTATCTTATGTTTATTGTGACTTCTCTGGTCTGATTGGTGTAACTTGCAATTGTACATTTGCCGTAAAGAAATCTTTTACTTTTGTATCATTGTCGTGTTTATTAAGTCAGATATATCCCTTGGGGAAGATTCTGAGTCATTCTATATAGTATGAATGATGATGTGATATTAGGAAATGATTGGGGATTGACTTATTGCTTCATTTCCACTGACAGATCAGGCATCCATTGCTTCCCCAGAGCCCACCTCGATGGCCAGAGCACCCATTAGGTATGTAAATATTCAAATTGGTGTGTTACAATGGTAATGGGGCTGCTGGTGCTACCTTAGGTCAGTATTGACGTACTGTGCCTATGCCACTCAGTTTCAAATGGAGTACAGCTGAAAGAGAGCTTAGTCAATGTTGATATTTATTCTTTTTCTGAGGCTGGAAGAGCAGGAGTACTCTCCAGACTCCATAACAACAATTGAAGCAGTTGCACCACTGGGTCTATTCTTTCATAAGGATGTAGTCTACTCCCACCTCCTTTCCCTGACCTATCCTTTGTTGTCCCAAATCAGCCTGCAGGCCAACTGATTTTTGCACATACAATGCACTAGCTGAATGGAACTGAGGCCCATCCTCAAAATGGACAATGCATACCACTAGCAACAGTATCAGTCCACATTCCTGTAGTACTGGAAAAGACCTTTTATCTTGCAGTGGCACAAGATACAATGCAGAATTGCAGCTGGATTTGCATTAGTTAGGCATTTTGTGGAAGAAGCAAACTTGAACAGGTCTCCAATTGTATATAGCATGAAGTTAATTTGCTTTAAAACTTTAATACTGAAGCATCTTTAGTCTTTGGCACAAGTAAATACCTCCTTTCAAATTTTACTCCTCTTTTTCGGAGTTCAAATTGGTCTTGAGCTTTAGTGCAAAATGAATGCTTGCAAATCAGACTTGACACTCTGCTGAGATTTGTTGCTTTCTTTTATTGAAAGAAGAAAATCCAGTGCACTGTAAAATTGGCTGGTTTGCCATCATCCATTCTGTGCAATTTTCAGAGACCAATTTTATTTCCTTTATTTTTAGAATTTTTGCATATGCTAGTAATAATTGCAAAACATCCATATAGTAAAAAAAATTGAAATAAATTAAACTAAATTATGAAAAGATCAATAGGACACTATAGTAATGGCAACACATATGATACACTTGGGCACACACTCTGAACTATTTTCAAATGATTACATAATGAAAATTGATGTTAACATGTTTCTGCCTGGACACTTAGTGGCCTGCTGTCAAATTCCTCTTTCCTCAACTAAATGAAGGCAGTAATCCATTTTAAACAAACAGATTAATGTCTTTGTTCAATTGCGAAAAGATGAATTTTATGTGTTCATGTTAGCATTCGTAAGATAACATTGCCAACTGCAATTTCCCAGCTCATGTATTTAGGAAAGTAGCTGTAATGCAAGATTGACAAATTATGTGTGCCTAACATTCAAATGTTTGAAGTTTGATTAAGCCAATCAATACAAACTTCAAAAATCATTTAAGTTAACCAGAAGGCATTAACTTGAGAGCTGAACAAGGAATAAACTCAAGAGTTTTAGAAGTCCTCATATGGATTTGTTTTCCAAGGGTAAGGCAGAACATCAAATGATGCAATTTACACAAAGAAAAGATTATTTCAAAAAAACATAAAGCAATAATTTGGGATGGACAATGAATACTGTAGAGGGAGAGGGGCAAGGAAAAAGGGTCAAGTGCACATAACTGATTGGCCCAAGTATGAGAAGTGTAAAGTATTCAATATAAAATAGACTAATTAATTGAACAAAAAGGTATAATTTGTTTAGATTTAATTACCAGTCAGAATGGTTGTTACATGGTGATCAAGGTCAAAAAATAAATACTGCAGGATTTCAGAAAGCTGTATTAAGAAATAAGAATGGCCCTAACAGTAAGAGATGACGAGGACAACATTCAGGAAGCCTCTTGACTCCAAGAGTCATGAAACAGAATTGGTTTGAGTAAAGATTAAGAACAACAATAACCAGATCACTAATTTGTAGATCCCTGAAAGTAGTTATATTGTTGGACAGAACAACTAGCAAGAAATATTTGAAGATTGTGAGAGGGGAAACAAAATAATTTGAGCAAGTTTAATATTCATGTTGACTTTTTAAAAAATAAGTAGGCAAACATTGTCCTAAAAATGAGTTTATTCAAAGCTTTTGTGATATTTTCCTGGAACAAAACCTTGTGGACCCAACCAGAGGTGAAGCTATTTTCAATATGACGTTGTGTAATGAGGCCGGATTCATTCATAATTTCATAGTAAAAGAACCTCTGGAAAAATCCAGATCCTAAATACAGTTGAATTCCATATTATGTTTGAAAATGATGTACTTCAGTCCAAAATAAGAGTATTAAACTTAAAGAAAGCCAATTACTTCAATTTGAGAAGAAAGTTGGTTAAATCTGTTTTTGTGTACAAACTATAAAATTTTGATAATTAGAAAGAAGTATTCAGAGCAAACATTTAAAGAAACCATTTTTTAAAAATTCAACAAAAACACATTCCATTAAAATACAATATCTCATCAAGAAATATCCATCCACCCCCGGACTAATGGATAGCATTATATTAATATAAGAAGCAAAAATGGTTGCAGTGTTTTAGAAACCAGCAATGGGTTACAAAAAGTTGATAAAAAGAGAGGAAATACAATATAAAAGTAAACTTGCTAGAAATATAAAAGCAAATTGTAAGTGCTTTGACAAGGACATAAAAATGCTCAGAGCAGCTGAAGTAAATATGGATCCCTTTGAGGCAGAGATAAGAGAAATTATTGGAGAGGAAGAGGAGATGACAAAGCCATTGAACAAGAATTGAGTGCTTGTTTTATGCCCAGTAGGAGGTGAATATGTGTGAAGAACTTAAGGTAATTAATGTCAGCGGAGGAAAAGTATTAGAGAAATATAAAGGATATAAAAGGAATATAAAGGAATTAATGGGCAATAATCTTAGGTTCTAAATGAGATTGCTACAGGGATGATGGATGCACTGGTTATGATTCTTCAAAATTCCTCAGATTCTAGAATTGTTCCATCAGATTTGACATTAGCAAATATAATATCACAATTCAAGAAAGACAGAAAGAAAATAGGGAATAAAAGGCCCTAAAGCATAACATTAACAGTTAGGTACATGCTATAATCTATCATTAAAGATGTCCTAGGAAATTATGGTGACATCAGATGAAATGAGCATAGAAATTATGCCTGGAAAATTGTGACGGCCATTGCGCCTTTGGGGATATAAACATATTTTATCTTGGGGTGATGGTCCCTTGGATTTCTGTAGGATCTGATTTACGGCAAAATACCTGGCTTACAGCAAGTTATCATATGACCGGGTTACTTGGGAGTTAAACAATTAAGAGAAAAATCAATATATGTTCATTAGAAGACCTGGTTATGTGTTCAAGCTATTTAGTTGTTCGGCTTTAGGAGTGAAAACATCTCTGAGACAGAGTTTAATTGAAATGTTGCATGTTGGATTTCAGGATTTAAACACTTTATTAATTAAAGGGCTGCTAGTGTAAGGGAGTGAGTTGTCTTACATACAGAGAAAGAAAAAGCAAAATACAAAGATCCAGAGGTAAACACTATTAGAACTGGGGGAGTTCAGACCCAAGGTAGCCACACTAACTTATTAGAAATGCCTCTGTTAAATGCGGGGTTTCTTACCATAGGCCACAGAAGGATTGAAAGGAAGCCATAGATCCAAGAAATCTCAACCTTTTTACAAATCTTCAAAGGACTCCTCAGACCAATCAGTTAGTATTCCAATTTTTGACAAGTATCTGAATTGAGTTTATTGGGGGTGTGGAAGAAAAGTGAATTTAAGAAGTTCAACTTAAATTACAAGTAACTGAATTAATTGTACTTTTAATGTCTTTAATTGCAGAAATACCAAGTGACCATTTAAGGTAGATTAGTTAGTACCAGTCATAATCTTTGACTTTTGAGAATTTTTTTTTTGAAACATTGAACCATAAACATTGTGGTTTAATTCTTTTACTGTGTATGCATTTCCAGATTCTTAGAAAATATAATAAGCATGTTATTTGTCTCCACTGAACTCATAAAAACTCTATTAGAGTTTTTGAGGGTGTAGCTAATAGATGAATGGGAGCCAGTAAATGTACTACTATTTTTACAAGTCATTCAATAAGATGTTACACAAAAACTGAATATGCAAGAGAAGAGTTAACAGGATTTGGCAATACTATATTAGCATGTATGGACAATTGATTAATGACAGGAAGAGGAGATTAGGGAATAAATAAGGTATTTTCAGATTGTTAGACTAATTTGAGGAGTGCCACAAGAATCAGTGTTGGGGTCTCAGATATTTACAATATATATTCATGATTTAAGAAAAGACAATGGATATATAATCCATTATAGCAGCCCTTTAATTAATAAAGTGTTTAAATCCTGAAATCCAACATGCAACATTTCAATTAAACTCTGTCTCAGAGATGTTTTCTCTCCTCCTAAAGCCTAACAACTTAATAGCTTGAACACATTTGCTGATGATACATTGTTAGGTGAGAATCTAAGCTGTGAGGGAAACACAAAGAAGTTGCAAGGAGAAACAGACAGATTACGTGAATGGGTAATAATGTGGAAGTATGAGGTATTCATTTTGATAAGAGGAATAGAAAAGCAGAATATTTTTTAAAAGGCTTTGAACTTCTAAACATCCAAGAAGATTTTGCTGTACTCATACAAAGAACACAGAAATCTGGCATACAGTTGCAGCAACCAATTAGGAAAGTAATGACATGTTGACCTTTATTGCAAGGGAATTGAACTACAACATAAAGTCTTGCTACAATTGTACAAGGCTTTGGTGAGATAGCACCTACAGCAGTCTTGCTCTACATATTTAAGCAAGGATATATTTGCATTGCAATATAGTGAAGGCTCACTAAATTGGCTCTTGGGATGACAGGATTATCCTATTTGACAGGCTGAGTAAATTAGGTCTATATTCTCTGGAGCTTAGAAGAATGAAAGTTGATCCCGTTCAAACAATTGTACTAATTTCTGCAGAGGCTAGACACGGTAACCACTAAGCCATTATTTATCCCATCTGGGAAACTGAAAATGGGTGACACAGCCTCAGGGTAAGAGGTCAATGATTATAACTGATATGAGAAGTTTCTTCGCTCAGGAAGTTGCAAGATTTTTAAATCATCTGTCCAGAAGAGCAGTGGGGCGAAACATCAGAGAAGCACCCCATTTGCCTCAATATTACATGTGGGGACAGCTCCAAGTGGTAATTATCTTGGCCATCTTTGCAAGGGTGTCACATTGCTACTTAACGTTAATTAGTAGTGAATGTAGGATTTAAAAAGAATGTATAGTTACTTACTTATCCATACTGGAGATTGATAATTTCACCCATTATCCTAACATGCCTTAATCTTTAGTTTACAATTCCAAAAACATTTTTCTCTTCCATGTCCTCTCAGATGTTTTCATTAGTGTGAGGCAGATGTTAAATGACCAGAAGAAAATTCAGTTCAAAATTTAAATATTTTACTGGTTTTCTTTTATTTGAAATTCTACAAACACAATGAATGACAGGGTCAATAAAAGAAGTCCAAATAAAAAGCTATGCAGTAGCGATGAATAAAGTCATGCAACAAAATGTTTCTTCACCCTATTTTGAAACTTGAAAAACAAATAGTATTTATATAGCATCCAACATTGTAAAACCTCAAAATTTGTTTAATGGGAGTTGTATGAAACATAATTTGACACCAAGTCACATAAGGAATAATTAAGGTTGATTGCCAAAATCTTTATTAAAAAATATGGTAGTCAGGAGTTTTCTAAAGGAGGAAAGCGAGGTAGAGATGTAGACATTTGGGAGATTGCTCCAGAGCATAGAATTGAGGTGGCCCAAGACCAGGCCACCAGTTGTAGAGTATTGAAAAATGGAAGTGCTCAGCTGACCAGAATTTGATGAGCATAGGTATCTTGATGGTTTGTTTAGCTGTAGAAGACTATGGAGGAAGGGAGGAACAAGGTCATAGATGGAGTTAAAGACATGAATGAAAATTTCAAAATCCCTGCATTGGCTGATCAAGAGACAAAGTAGGTTAGCAGGCATAGGGATGGTGGGTAAACTTGGTGTGAGTTTGAATACAGGCAACAGAGTTTTGTAGAATCTAAAAAATTATGCAGGGTATAATAACACAACATACCTTTACACTTTTGTGGATTCTTTCAGCAAAATATGCAGGTGTAGACTTTGAACAACTAACTAAAAAAAAGCAAACAAAAATAACCATTTAAGAGCATATCAAAACCCTTTTTGTTTACCTCCCCTTCCATCCATACCTTGCTCCATTTATCAGCTCAGCAAACAGCAAATAAACTATTGCATATTCTGCTCTACTAGTGGATAAATCTAACCCAGAGTTCCACCTCTTGTATAATAGATTGATAATTAAAGATTTAAACCTTGACCTAAATCCTTGAAATCGAATTATTATTGTTGTCAAAGCAGGTTGCTTGTACCTGTAAGAAGGCACAAAAGATGACCACTCAACAGCAGTACTGAAAATGTACTTCATAATGTCATGCCACTTAGAAAGGAAAGGAAGATGACGCTGAAGGGCTAAGTAAAATTTTTAACAAAATTAATGGGATTATAACTTATCAGGAAAGATTGAACAGGTTCATGATTTTTTTCCTCAATAAGAAAATCAGACTGAGGAGTTTCCTAACAGAAGTACTTAAAATTCTGAGGAAGGGTCACCGGACCCAAAACGTTAATTCTGATTTTTTTCTTTACAGATGCTGCTGCACCTGCTGAGCTTTTCCCGCAACTTCTGTTTTTGTATTTAAAATTATGAGTGGTTTGGATAGGTTAGCTATAGAGAAAATGTTTCCTGCTATGGATCAATATAGAACTAAGGATAACAAAACAAAGTTACTTGTGAATAAATTGAACAGAGAATTCAAGAAATCTCATTTACCTAAGAGAATTGTTGGAATTGAGGAGAACAGCAAAAATACATTTAAGAGAAAATTCGTTCGCATGAGGAAGAAAGAAGAGAAAAGGTTGGATGATCAAATTGGATGAACTAGAAACATAGAAAATAGGACCATAGAATAGGAGTAAGATATTCAGCCCTTTGATCCTGCTCCCAATTCAATATGATCACGGCTGATCATCCAACCCAGTAGCCTGTTCCTGCTTTCACCCATACTCTTTGATCCCTTTAGCCTGAAGAACTATATCTATGTCCTTCCTGAAAACATTCAATCTTCCAGCTTTCTGTGGCAGAGAATTCCTTCGGCTTATCATTTTCTGGGTGAAGAAATTTTTCCTCATCTCAGTACTAAGTGGCTTACCCCATATCCCTTAATTTGTGACCCCTGATTGCTGGTACTGATTTATAGATTTCTATAAGATCCCATCTCATTCTTCTAAACTCCGGTTAGTATAGAATGAACCAATCCAGTGTGTCTTCATACATCAGTCCTGCCATCCCATGAATAAGCCTGGTAGACCTTTGTTTTATTCCCTCCAAAGCCAGAACATCCTTCTACAGATAAGGGGATTAAAACTGCACACAATACACCAGGTGTGGTCTCAAAAAAGTCCTGTACATTTGCAGCAAGACATCCCTGCTCCTCTGCTCGAATCCTCTCATTATGAAGTTCCAAATACCATTTCCCTTTTTCTCTGCCTGCTGCACCTGCATGCTTACTTTCAGTGACTGGTGTACAAGGACACCCAGGTCTCATTACATCTCCCCCTTTTTCAAACTAATGTGATTCAGATAATAATCTGCCTTCCTGTTTTCGCCATCAAAGCATTTGCACTCTCACTTAGCATTTCTAAATCACAATGAAGCATCTTCACATCCTCCTCGTGGATCCCTCCCACCCAGCTTTGCATTGTCTGCAAACTTGGAGATATTACATTTCATTGCCTCATCTAAATCATTAATAAATATTATGAGTAGCTGGGATCCAAGCATTCAAAATGACAGCGAGCAGGTTGATTACCGACTTGCAAATCCTTCCAAAACACACGCATGACAGGCAGTTAGAGCAGAGGAGATTCCTGGTTAGAAAGTCAGAACCTCTATCATTGCTGACAATGTTCCAACTACAATATACATATAAAAAGTGCATACTTCTACAACAACCTGAACCTCTGGAGTGGACTATAACATGCCATTACCTAACATTCAAATTTTTGTACATCTCATTTGACTTACCCATTGTCAACATCAAATCCTTCAGATCTCCAGACATTTCACTCTTAATGCTGTCTTCTATGGTCTTGTTGGTAACTGCCTTGTACTCATCAAATGCTAACAAAGAAAAAATCAGAATACAATTTTTTTGTTCCAATTTGGAGGGAAATATAAACTCTTTCAAATAATTTTCTTACTTATTAGCAGCTGAGCAGGGCTCCTTAAGCACAAGACTTCGATAAATTTAGCTTCGTCTGTCCCCAGTCTCTTCTCACCGGCCTTATAAAGGGCCTATAGGATACAATAGAACAATTACATGAACAACTTCAGTTCAGTAGCGACTATGTTGGTTAAGAGTCAAACCCCTGTGCAAGTTATATGTGTTGGAAGGAGCAGCCTTGCTGCATTCAACAACTAATGTAAGGGAACAACAAAGTTACCTTTTTGGATTGAACATGAAGGATAAATTTGACTTCTGATGAAAACTGATATTACACATTTTATTTATATAATCGCTGATTTGTTAAATATCTATAGGAAGATATGAGTTTGAAGAATATAATTCCTGAGAATGAAATTGCCTTCCGTTATTAATTAACGAGAGAAAAACACACCTAGTATCTATGTACATTAGCATATTTTACCTATTACATAAATCATCAGCAAAGTATAAAGGAAAATACATTGAAGTGGTTACAATGATGTGAATTTATTTATAGAGCACGGGCTGAAGCAGAGTTTATACCTTTTAGATCTTGTGTGATTGCTTTTACAATATTGCTGTCACCCATACCAACTGTATGTGCATTCTACTGAAATACTGTTTCTTTTGCTTGGGAACCAGATGTAAAAGAGATGGTTTATGTTCGCTTTGATAAATCGAGGATGATTAACTCAGGATTTTGATTAATAGCCAGTGAAGGTAACTAACATGGGCATTCCCTGCAGGTGTCATTGTCATAAGATTGCAAAACACATTCACCCTCTGTTTTTTAATTCCATACTAGATTAAACTTTTGAACTGAGGCAATTTATGCATTCTTGGAGTTTGATAAGTACAACACTCAATGTCTTCATATTTCACGGAACTCAGCATTTAACATAATGTTAAAGGAAGGTAATCAAAGGATGATTTGAAATCAGTGTCAGGAGAAATACAAGCTGGTCTACTTTCCAAAAAAAACTGATCCTGGATATATATTCTTGATCTTAGATAATTACTGTATTACCAAAACTAGTATCAAGTTTATTACTATTTCTTTGAGGACTATAGTCAATGATTTATGATCCTGTTTATGAATAAATCACAAATCAACTTTTAATGAAAGCTAAGTTAAAATCCAAAATCTTATTAATTACTTGGTATTGTTGCAAAGATTCCCAGTTCCAATCTCAGGTTAAATGAACATTATTTATTAACTTCAGTACTATTTTTACACAATTTTTTTTCTGATCTGCTCTCTGCATCATTATATACAGTCATAAAATCTGGAAAAAGTTCAATTTGTATACAGTGGAAATATAGCATGTTATAACCACATTTCAGGACAGAACAGACTGCTGGGAAACTCTATGTGCCTATGTATTAGTTTTGGAGAATGTACTAATTCAACTTGTGTAATTATGGCTCCAGGGAGCATGCAGGCAACATTTATAATTTTAATTACCCATTACCAAATCAAACTTCTTAATTTAAAAATAACATACCTGAGCATCACTCTTAAAAAGTCTTTCATCCACAACCTGGCAATTTTCATCTCTCCTAGCCTGGTAGTAAACAAAATTAAAATGTCATAGAATATCTGCACAAGGCTTAAGGCTAAACATTACAATTAGCATTGGTTATACAAAGGTTCTTTCATAGCTATCTTAAATGCATGGTTTAATTCTCTTATTCTATACTTAAGTCCTATAAAATGTTTTGATTATCCTCCAATTCTGATTAGGGTGCTAATCCAAAAAAACCTTCCTTTTTTCAGAAACTGATGGACCGACTGTATTATTCTAAGATTTCTTCAGTTTTTAGTTTAGGAATTAATTATCTGGAAAAGGTTATTTAGATCCAAAGTTCTAAAAGAAGGTCTGGGTTTTGACAACATATTTCCTAGCCCATGTCATTGTACATTCTCATGCTATAAAAAACTGGATGAACAAGTTCCAACCTTAAAGTAATAAAGTATGGCTGTGCAATAGCCTCAAGATAGCACAGCACTTCAAAGTAATCCAAAGTTGTGAACTACGTCGAACATCCTAAGGACATACTGAAGTGCTAGATAAATGCACTTATTTGTTCCAACATCATCCATATTCACAGAATCATGGAATTGTTATTCTGCAAGAGGAAGCTATTCATTGGCATCGGTTCTCCAATGAGCATTATGATTTAGTATATTCACCAGTCTTTTCCCCATGCCCTTGAACATTACTTCTATTTACGTAATCATCCAATGTCCTCTTGAATGTCTCAACTAATTCAATCTCCAACACACTTTGAACTGTACATTCCAGACCCAAACCACTTACTCTGTTAAAAAGATTATTTTTTTCTCACCTCACACTTGCTCCTTTTGTAAGTCTCTTTAAATCGATGGCCTCTCTTCCTTGATCCTTTTATCGTTGGGAATGGTTTCTCCCTCTCTATTCTATTCAGACCTTTCAGGATTCAAAAAATTCAGGTCCTCTCTCAGCCTTCCCTACTACAAGTAGAGCAGGCCCAACCTATCATTATAACTCATATTCCTTCTCCCTGGAACCAATGTTTTAGATTGCATTCACATCCTCCCTGTAGTGTGACACCCAAAACTGCACATAATACCCAAGCTGAGGTCTAATAAGCATCTTGTATAAATTCAGCATAACCTTCCTGCTCTTGTAATTTATGCCCCCATTGATAAAGCCCAGGATAACAAATGTTTTATTTACCGCTCCTACCACTTTCAATGACCTATGCACATACATACCAACTTCTTCTGCTTGAGCACCCCCTTAATTATTGAATTCCTTACTTTATATTGTCTGACCATGTTCTTCCAACCAAAATACCTCACCTCACACTTTTCTGCATTAAATTTCATCTGCCACCTATCTGTCCACTTTACCAGTTTGTCAATCTAGATTTGAAATTCTGAACTATCCTCCTCGGAGTTAAGAATGCTTCTAAATTTTGCATCACCTGCAATCTTTGAAATTGTCCCTTGCACACCAATATCTAGATGATTAGTATATATCAGCAAAAGCAGGGGTCTCAATATTGACACTGGCGAACTCCAATAGACACCTCCCTCCACGCTGAAAAATATTGATTAACTATTATTCTCCATTTCCTATTACGTAAGCAAACTTGTATCCACATTACAACTGCCCCTTTTATTCCATAAGCTATATCTTTCCTTCAAATTTGTAGTTTGACACTATCTAATGCCCTTTCGAAATCCATGTATTACCACATCAGCAGTGTTACCTTCATTGATCGTTTCTGTTAAATCTTCAAAAAGCTCTAGCCAGTTAACCAAATATGATTTCTCCTTTAGAAATCCATGCAGGTTTTCCTAAACAACCATTTTTTCTATTGGAATACTAATTCTATCCCAAATAATTGTTTCTAGAAGCTTCCCTTAATCTGAAGCTAAACTGATTAGTCTGAAATTGCTGCGTTTATCCTTAGAACCATTTTTTTGAACAAGAGTGTTATGTATGCAATTCTCCACTTCTCCAAGACTGACAGATTTTGGTCAGTGCCGAAATAATTTCCATTCTAATTTCCTTCTGTATCCTTGGATGCAACTCATCTGGTCCTCGTTCTTATCAAGTTTAAGTTTCAATAGCATATCAAACAATTCCTCCGTATCAATTTTGATCCCTTCTAGGGCAGACTTCCTTCTCTGTCACCTTGGCCTGGGTAGTATCTACTACCTTAGTAAAGACAGATGCAATGTATTCATTTAATACCTCATTTGCATTTCTTGCCTTGCAAATCCCACTTTTGGTCCCTAATATCCCCTACCTCTCCTTATACTGCTTTTTAACATTGATGGGCCTACAGAAGACTTTGGGACTCCCCTTTTTTTGGCTTTTCTCATAAACCCATTTTGCTTCTCTAATATGCTCACTCGCTCCCCCACCCCCTGAACCTTCTGTATTCCTCAGGTTTGCTACTTTATTTTCTACCTGACACTAGCCATAATCATACTTTCTCTTTATTTTAATTGCTATCTCCTTTGTCATCCAGGGAGGTCTGGATTTGTTTACCATCTTTTTCTCTTTTGACGTATATGCCTTGACTTTATCCAACCATCTCTTCTTTGAAGGTAGCCAATTGTTCAGCTACAGATTTTTCCATCAACCTTTAGTTCCAGTCTATCTAGTCCAACTCTGTTCTTGCCCCGAGGAAATGGGCTGTGCCCAGCTAATTTTTCTTACACCAGATTGCCTACTGCGTTTGTCTATCATAATCCTAAACCTTATGATATGATGATCACTGTCTCCTAAATACTCATCCATTGACTTCTGATCTATTTGGCCCATCTCATTTCCAAGAACCAGGCTGAATAGGGCATCATCTAGTTTGATTGGATACATTCTGCTGGTTTGAAGTGTATTGTCAGATCTTTGCAATAAATTGAATACAACATATTTGAAAAAATAAAAGCATATAGCCAACCCCAGGACAATAAGATGTGAAAAATGTAAATGTATAAAGAATATTGGAATAGATACCTCTAGCAAGATGAGCAAAGCTCTTCTAAAATCCCCAGATGTCTCTGCAGCAATATCCTTTGCCAATTCCCTTTTATATTCTAGAAAAAGGTTATTGATGAAGAAAAATGTAAATATTTTGCTTCTAACAATCACAAGAATTGCAAAAAATGTATTTTAAATTGAAGTTTAGTATTAATGTTAACAGCAAGTACAACAAGAAATTATAAGATTACTAAATCATAATACAACTAAATTATTTCAAAATAAAAACATTAATTCAGTTAAATCATTGGATTCTTACCGTGCAGAAAGAGACCATCACGTCTGCACCAACCCTCTAAAGACCTCCATCTTATCTCCTAACCCCACATTTGCCATGGCTAATCCAATTAGTCTATATATCTCTCAACACTGTGGACAATTTACCCCCTAACCTCTCCATTTTTGGACTATGGGAGGAAACCAGAACACCTGGAGGAAATCCACATAGACAGTCACCCGAGACTGGAATCAAGCCCGAGACCCTGGCACCATGAGGCTGCAGTGCTAAGCAGTGAGCCACTATGCCACCCAAGAGAACAATAAACCCAAAAGTATTAAAATTATATAACTCATAGATATTGAGTTGATTATATTTTGAGTATTAATAGATCATACATCTTTTAAGAAAGTAAAATATTACATGATGTGACTATGTTTTTCTTGACATCTAGGTGATTGTGCCAAGTGCAAGACTGAGGTTGATAAAAAGTGAGACAAAGGAAATGAGAAAACAGTGACAGTAGAGACCAAGCTTAAGAGTTAAAAACTTGAAGATTACAGGATGCAGAGCTTGAGAAAAATAGCAAGTTCCACAGATCAGAGATCCTTATAAAGATTAGATTTGTGTGGAAAATGTCATGAGTTTACTACATTGAGAATGAAGGGGGTAAGAGAAAGTAGGATAGCATATTTTCAGTTTAGGAGGAAAAAAAAAGGAAGTGTAAAGAAATTTCAGTTTAAAGATACAGAATGTGAGACGGAAGTAAGCAACATGGACATATTAAAACAGGAACTTCATGACCTTGTTTACTATTAGATCCTGACTGACTTGTATCTCAAATTCACTCACCTCTCTCTCCATCCCTGGTTACCTTTACCTAATGAAAATCTATTGATTTCAGTCTGGAAAATTTGCCCCAACATTTCTAGCCTTTTGGGGAAAGAGTTCCAGACTTTGAGTTGGTGCAAGATAGATTATCAGAAATCATGTTTCATACTTCCTCTGCAGTGGTATAAAATGTTTCTGGTCAGGAATGTGAGAGCAGAATATGTGCTAAAACTTTCAACTTTTGGATGGATTTCGCTGTTCAAATTTTGCTGAAAAAAATGAAGCATTTAGGACTGAAAAAAGAAGTTGAAATTCTTATAGGCAGAGAAGGTTTAATTTAGATCAGAGGAAATAGGGAAGTCAAGATTGTGAATAGAGGAAGGATGTAGAAAACAGTTATTGGGTTATTTTTGCCTCACAGATATTGCTTAGTAGCAATGTAAAAGTAACAATATAACTCAAAGTCACATCCCAATCTAAACAATGTATCAAAATGGTTCTGAGGCAAAGGTTTATCACCTCCTGGAATAAAGTATAGCCTAAAGCTATTTTTTAAAAATATTTTATAAGATGGACAATCTTGCCTGCGCTTTCAGCCAACTTAAAATGTACCAACTGGTACTGGGACTCTGCACATTTTTATAAGTACTTCTTGAAATTCTCTCAGGGCAGTAGGGAAGTGAAACTGCAGCTAAATATGCAGTAAATTAGTGCACATAACTGTAGCCTATTTGGAAACAAACAGAAGAGGTTGTACCTGTTGACTGGGCTAATTACAGGTGATAAAACTGTAGGATAGATTTCCAAAGCCTTGACTCCCAACATGGAAGCTTGCTTGATGCTGGCATAGTTGTGACATCCATACAAAACCAGCATGGTCATAACTGCCCAATTCGAGACACTACCAAACTTTTGGTCATTCATTTTAATCACTGGAATATCAGAAGTGTTGTGAACGAGATACAATAACTTCTGAACTCAATTGTTAAATCAATGCTACTGCCAAGAGATGCTCCACAATAGAAACAGTTCATAAAAAAGTTACCTTGTGGCTTTAAGCAATTGAAAGAAATTAGATCAAAAAGAACCAAGATATAATGATTCAATCACTGAACTATTAGAGAAATGGGTTGTATTTTCTGAGAATCTATGATCTGAAACCAGTTGATGATTGTAAGATAACAAGGTGTAGAGCTGGATGAACACAGCAAGCCAAGCAGCATCAGAGGAGCAGGAAGGCTGACGTTTCGGGCCTAGACCCTTCTTCAGAAAATTTTCTGAAGAAGG